ACAAACACTTAACACAAGTACCAGCATTTAAAGTAAAAGGGATCGGGGTCACTGCAAAATATTGTAAATGTTGGGACTAACAATTTGGTTTTGTGGGTTTTCTTCCTGGGGCTGTGTTCCAGAGAGGGCAATAAAGGGTAAAACTCATTAGAGCATCATTATCTTTTGTCTAAAGGAAACAATGTGTGGTTTCTGGGCAGCCCACTTGGTGTTCGCATTGGGCCTGGAAGCCTTTCAAACCGACTACATTGTTTGAACAATTCTCCCTCTTGAACATGAAAAGAACCACCAGCCAACCACAGGGCTGATGCTAAATTACTAACTAGGTGATGACTCCTTTGGCTCCTAAAGGTTTCTAGATCGCAGTCATCGAAATCATGGATCTTCCTTCTAAAGAGAAAGATTGGTCCCTCTGGGGAGACCTCCCATGCAGTCTCCCCTCCAGGGTGCTTCCGTGACTTCTGAGAAGTTTGGTTTAAAATTACGATCATTGAGTTCTCTCCAACTCTGATTCCTGTGTGTGCATGCGTGTGCCTGCATGTGTGTATGCACACGTGCACACACTCAAGTGTGGAAGCTACAAGTCATCATCTGGTGTCTTTCTCAATCCCTTTCCATCTTAGTTTTGAGAAAAGGACCCACACTAAGCCTGGAGCTCACTCTTTTGGCTAGGCTGATTGGTTAGTGACCTCCTGGAACTACCTTACCTAGGATTGCAGGCATCAACACACCTGGCTTGCTATGTGGACAATGTCGATACAACATTGATTCCTCGTGCTTGAGTGGCAAACAACTTTTACCATCTGAGCTATCTCCCCAGTCCCCCAGACCCTGACTGATAAATTGCAGTTCTTTGGAAACTGCAAAGCATTCCCAAGACAAATTTGCAAACTTGAATTTGAGCAGCAATGTGACTTATTAACATTTTTTTATGAGGGAAGCACACTTGAGATCCATTGATCATGTGGTGATATTAAAAGGATGTTGAGGGCATCGTTGCTGCTCCCTACGCTCGCTTACCTTTCTTGGGGGATTTTATTATACTTTTTAATTATGATGTTGCCACAGGAGCCTTTGTGAGGAAACCAGAGACTATATCTGGGGCTGCCTGGGACTTCTACTAACGTAACACCCTGTTCTTCATCTCTCTAGAGTAACTCCACCTAACCTCTGGTTCTTCCATTGCAATCTCCTGTTGAGAGTTGAGCAACAAAAGCAGGGGCTATGTTCTGATTTACGTTGTCCATTACTCAGGATAAAGTTCTAAGATTTTAATATTAGAAAAGCATAGATAAGAAAAAAGGCATCATATATCAGCCAAGCTTCAATGCTGAGGCTAACGCATGACATGTTACCTTTGTTGCTAGTGTTATCACCAACAGTCCAATATGATCCATCCACATAACATAAACCCAAAGATGGTGACCATGCAGGGTCTAAGGTTTTGGCTTCCTAGGCTCCAGTTCTATTTCTACCAATAATTACTGTGAATGAAAACATGAGCTGATTTTAAACCTCTACCCCATACTTACACGCACATATGCAATATGCAGACTGTGGTGGTTTGATTAATAATGCCCGTCTTAGGCTCATATATTTTAATGCTTAGACATCAGTGTGTTCACTATTTGAAATGATTAGAAGGATTAGGAAATGTGGTCTTGTTGAAAGAAGTATGTCATTGGGGTGGGCTTTTAGGCAAAAGTCCAGGAGTCTCCCTCTCTCTCTCTCTCTCTCTCTCTCTCTCTCTCTCTCTCTCTCCCTCTCTCTGTCTTGAATGTCTGCATGAGGAAAAGGATGTGGATCTCAGCTACTGCTACAGTAACACACATGCTGACAAACTCCCTGTTGTGATAATAAAGGACTAAGCCTCTGTAAAACCCCTAATTAAATGCTCTTAGTTGCCTTGGTCATGGTATTTCTTAACAGCAGAACAGTTACCAAGACACATACATACACATGTACACACACACACATATACATAAACACACATACATAGACAAACAGAGAGAAACACACACACATACACCTATATTTGTGTTTAAACACACACACACAATCCAGAATCAGGGTGGTTTCCATACGCAGCTGTTAGAAGAACTAATTCCCGTTTTCCAGCTGTAACTACTGAGCTTTAAATACAATTAGAGATTTAGAGTTAGGATTCAAATTAAGGTTTTCTCTGACGAAATATCAGCAATTTCCTTTTACCTTTTTATAATTGAACGGTATATCTTTCTAACTGCCTCACTTTAAGTGCCAAAAGGAAACCATACTCCATATCTAAAGGTCAAAATGCAGAACTTGTCCTGCTTGCAGCCTATTGCAATCTCTGGGTTGTGAGCTCAGAAAGAACTGGATTTCCCACCTCTCTGTAGATGTTGCCCTGGTCACACTGGGACAAGCACAGCATGGGTTCTTACTACTTGACAGGCTTAAGGGACTACATAACACACCACTTTAAAGAAACAAACAGTATTAGGTGTCTCCCCTTATTCCTCACCTCACATTCTTCAGTGAAACAGCAACTCCTAATGAACTCAGTCCTCATCAATATGGTTCAGCTTTTTGGGTAGTGAGCCCCAGTCATCCCCCTGCTTCCACTTCTCCAAGGTTAGAATTTCAGCTATAAACATCAGCCCCTACCATTATAGATGAGTGCAGGGCATACAAACTCAGTTCCTCCTTCTTGCCCAGCAAACACTTTATAAAGGGGGCATCTCCGAGGCCTTTCATTGGCTTTCTAAATTCTATAGCATAGAAATCGTATTTTAGGGTTGGGGTACTACCTATCAGCCCACGCCATTCTTTTTGTCAACACAGGAATCTAAGCTGCAGATAATGTGAGATTCATAAACACCTTGCCATTGACTCTGTTTTCCCAGAACAGTTACAACGGAATGAGAGTTAGGACACTGGGCCAGGAGATCTGCCGATGGGTACACAGCTCTGAGGAGCAGGTATAACAGATGCGCCATCGAGGTTAAAAATTCATCGCATTCGAGCATGTTTGTCTCATGTGTAGTTACATAGCCTATATGGTTTTTTGTTTGCTTTTGTTCCTCATTTTAAATAAGTAATTTGTTTTGCTGAGAAGACGACATCCTTGGGTTGGGGACGGAGTGAGTTTAATCAAGTGTCCACAGTCGTGTTCCATATCCCGTTCCTTGACTATTTGGAACAATGGTATAAGTCACTCTACCAAAAATAAGCTCTTAAGTTTGCTGTACCTATGGAAATTTTGCTCCTGCCTCAGTCCAGTCCACTCTGGTCCTCCTGTCACATCTCCCTCTCGCTGGTATAAATAATAGAGGCTTTGTCCTCTCCTGAGTTTGTCTTGGGAGTAAAAGTGGTGATTTCTAATTGTCCACACAAAAAGACATCAGTCTGTGCCCCCGTCCCTTGGTTTCTCATTTTTATACAGTTTTTAATATGAAACAGAAAAGGGCCTATGAGTAGGCTAAAGAATGATGGCATATCAGGTGTCGGCGACATCTGTTGGAATATTGTCTATTTGCTGAGGAGCGCAGTCATGGAAAAGTATCATGGGGAAAGTGCTCATTTCTTTCTATGCTTAGGGTGACTGATCCTTGAGACTCATTGCTGCTTGCATGCATTTTTATATATTTACTTATGATGTGCTTTGACAGTGTGTTTGTAGTTGGAACAGTGGCTTTCTTTGGGAAGTCTGCCTAGAGCAAAGCCTACCGTGCCATCCCTATACTCCCAGTCACAGCTCTGCCATGAAACTCTGGTACCAGCCTAGCTTGAGGCAAGCTAGACTCTCACATCAGACACACAACAAAGGAGAGCAGTTCACGTGCTCAAGTCACAGCCCAAAAGCAAACAATATGAGGAGCCACGAGAGTGGGTCCCCTCAAACTTACTAGTTCAAAGAGAATCACGTAAATAAACTCAAAGACAGAATTTAAAAGAAAAAAACTTAAACTTCATGAAAGAATTTTTATCTCAAAAATAACTAAAAACTGAATGGAAATGCTGAAATAAAGAGGAACAGATTGAGAAAATGAAAGCAAATCTGGGACAGCGGCTCTTGCCATGCCTTTGCTGTGTACAGTTCCCCAGGCTATGTGCTATCTCGACCCAAATAAACTTAGTTCTGGCATGCAAAGGGCCCCATTGGCAGCTTTGTCTTGGGAAAATAGATATGGCCCTGTGTCAATTGAGAGAGAGAGAGAGAGGGAGAGAGAGAGAGAGAGAGAGAAAGAGGGGGGTTGATGGTAAGTACAGTTTTACTACCTTCTGACTCCTAGTGTGTGGGACACTAAGCAGCATCCAGTCATGATAATGAAGATCACATTTATGAAATAATCTTAGAGCAATCTTTAGAGGCCTTCGGAGAAAGTCTCTATTGTCACTTCCAATCCAAAGGCACCTTCACGTTATCAGTGCCTTTTATGCAATGTTTGTCTTCGCTCAGGAGAAAACATTGACTTAGACATTTTCAACTTCTAGAGACTTGGTTCTAATTTTCCTGGTATTTACTTCCAACAAAGTCCATTGGATGTGACATAATACTTTACATTTGTATGACCTACTGTCTTCTCTCATTTGGTGATCAGTGCTAGGAGAGATCACCTCATTTATGGTGGAACAATGGGTATAGATATCCTTGAGATTTTCAAAGGAGCAAGAACCAGAAGCAAAGAAGTTAAAGAGTCAAAGACTTCTCTTCACAACCTTTGAAAGACTTCTCAAAGTTCAACAATGGCGCAGAGAAGAGGAAAGTGAGTAGTGGAGGAGGAAGTGGGGAGGAAGAGAGGAGGAGAAAGAAAAGGATGGAGAGGTGAGGAAAGGGAAGAAGAGAAGAGGAAATAATGATGTAGTTTTAAGGCGGCAGTGGATGCATTTATGATATGGAATTGAACAGCTACAAAGTGAAAAGCATTGAAAGGTTCCTACCCACTCCTGGCTCTTAAGTCCAACAATACAGACATCATAGAATCTGTTTCCACCACCGTTATAGAGGCATTGCTCACCTTGAGTCCCTAGTGACAGTTTTAGTATTGGATAGTTCTATGCTGGAGATGAAATTTGTCCGTTTATTCTAAACTGTTTAGTAGTCACTTGCAGGGCTGTAATGAAAAATCATACACATGGGTCATTTCAGTGCAGACAGTTTCACCTCTAATAAAAACCTCTACAAGAGAAATGGCTGGGTAAAAACTATGTTCGCTTGTCATTTTCATAGGCAATAACACTTGGGTTGCTGCCAATCTCATTGGTGAAAGATAGTGTTTTGGCATTCTTTTGATTTGCACTGCCACGTGGATTAAGAAGCTTTTCCTTTAATATCTAGTTATGTACTTTTTTAATGAAACATCCATTAATAATTACATTTTCAGAAGTCTTTTTAAACATTTGGCCCTTTAAATATGGCACTATTTACATTTTTCTTTTGTTTTTGCATGCGTCCATGGTATTCATGTACATGTGCGTGTGCGTTCGTATACGTGGTAGGTGCATGTGTGTTTGCAGGTAATAGTCATGTGCCTGTGCCTTCGTTCCCAGGCCACAGACTGATGTCCTGCATCTTCATGAATTGCTTTCCACCTCATACACTCATCTGAACCCGAGTTTGCTGTTTGGCTAGTTTAAGCAGCTAGCTTACCCACCCTGGGAACCCCCTGGCACTTTCTCAGGTGAGCCATCCTGCACGCCTGACTTTCACATGGCTGCTGGGGATCTGAACTCTGGTCCTCATGCTTAAATAGAAAGTGTTTAACCACTGACTCACCTCTTTAGCCTACAAATCACTTTTTGCAATTTAGTTCACTGTCTTTTGATTTGCTTATGGAACACAGGAATTGAAAAAGGAAAACATGACTGAGTGAAACTTGAGTAAAAGATCGCAAAGTCCACCCCCATACGGACACACTTCCAACAGAAGGTGTGATTCAGGTTAAAGATGTGCCCTCCAGCCTCAAGGTGTGAATTAAAGGCGTGTGTCCTAAAAAAGAAAAGAAAAGGTGTGTGTCATTCAGCCTCCTCCAACAAGACTACCCTTCCTCTAACAAGGCCACACTTCCCTCCTAATAGTGCCTCTCCTTATGAGTCTATGGGTGTCAAATACATTCAAACACCACATTTCACTCCCTGGCCCCTTAAGCCTTTAACAATATCATAATGGAAAATGCATTTAGTCCAATTTCAAAAGTCCCCATAGTCTATCACAGTCTCAGCAATGTTTAAAATCCAAAATTAAAAGTCTCTTCTGAGATTCATATAGTCTCTTAACAAGAATCCCATGTAAAGTCAAATCAGAAAGCAGATCACATCCTTTCAACATAGAGTGGCATAGGATATACATTACCACTCCAAAACATAAGGAAAGGACATAGTGAGGAAATACTACACCAAGGCAAGACCAAAACCAGTTGAGCAAACTCCAAATTCTGCATCTCCATGTCTGTTGTCGAGATGCACTCCATATCTCCAATTCCATTCAGCTTTACTGACTGGAACACAATTCTTTCCCTTGGGCTGGTCCTCTATTAGCGGCTCTCCTCAGCAGGCACCCCACAGCTCTGGAATCTCCAATATCTAGGATAATTACAAAATTTCAACTGTCCTATGTCTGGGATTCACTCCCTATCTTCCAAACTCCTCCAAAGGGTACGGGACACGGCCCCAGCTCTGCCCTCTGCAGCACACACGGCTTGTCTTCTAGGCTCCAGCTGGCTCCACTCCACTGCTACGGTTGTTCCTGGTGGTCATTCCATGGTACTGGCATCTCCACGATGCTGGGATCTTCTGCTGCAACTGGACTGCACTTTCATGAATGGCCTCTCATAGGCTTTTTTCATGGTACCAAGTCTCGACTTCTTTTCATGATCCCTTCAACTGCCTTCAACTGCCACTGGGGCTGCACCTTCACCAATGCCGTTTCCTGTCTTCTCGAGGCTGCATCCCATGACCCCTTCATGCCATCAAAACCAGTACCACCTGGGTGACGCTTACACATTACCAAGTCCAACTGCCAGCAGGAGGTACAACCTTGGCTGCCTCTGGAACACAGCTTCTCTGTGCTCTCAGAAAGCTCTTCTCAGAATGTTTTACCTCAGTGATGTTAGTCTCTTCTTAATCACTGCTAATTTCTTAGCTCCAGCCGACTAGCATCAAGTATCCCAGCAAAGCAAAATTTGCTTTTGCAGTTCTGGTGTCTTGCTAATCACAGCTGATTCTTCAGCCCCAGCTAATCGGAACCACAAGATCTTAACTCGTTTCTTCTATCCTTAACTCTAAAACCAGAATCACATGACCAAAGATGTCAAGGTCTGTGACTTACTGGGGTTGGAACACGACCTCCTTGTTTAATTACATCTTCACCAATTTTCTGTCTTTCATTGCCTAAGCTTGGCTTTTGTGAAACTTGGCCTGTAGACCAGGTTAGCCTTGAACTCACAGAGATCTGCCTGCCTCTGCCTCTGGAGTGCTAGGATTAAAGGCATGTGCCAACGTTGCCTGAGACCACCACTTCCTTTATTCTATTTCTTAATCTGTTTATCTCCTTGAACAGAAGATTTAGCTCCGTTCCACTTTCCAGTGCTCCTTTTCTCCTCAAATATTTTTCTTTACTCAGCTCCTTTCATTATAGTTACCACTAATATCCATATGACAGTTTATACTAGGCTGTTTTGAGATTTCTTCTGCCAACAGAATTAATCCAAAACTCTTCACTTTAGCATCAGGAAGAGTCTTTGGACAAGAGCAAAAGGCAGCCAATTCCTTTACCAAGATATCACAAGAATGATTTCTAGGCAACATACTAAAATTCTTCATGAAGGTTCTTGAGGTAGTCCCCCACAGTTCATCAAATCGCACGCAACACCACTGTCTTCCATGCTCCTATTAGGATGGCCCATTAAGCAGCACTTAATGCATCCAACTACTTCTCTAATTCGCAGTCCCATCCACAGTCCCAAAGTTCATATTATTTCAATCAAAGCCATGGTCAGGCCTATGACAGCAATACCCTACTCCTGGTACCAACTTCTGCCTTAGTTTGGGTTTCAGTTGCTGTGAAGGGGCACCATGACCACAGCAACTCTTATAAAGGAAAATATTTAATTGAGGAGGTTTGCTTATAGTTTTAGAGGTTCAGTCAATTGTCGTCATGGCAGGGGGCACTGTGGCATGCAGGTAGATGTGGTGCTGGAGCCTTACATCTTGACTTAGTGGCAACAGAAAGTTGACTGACTCACTGGGTGGTATCCTGAGCATAAGAAACCTCAAAGTCTGCTCCCACAGTGACACACTTCCTCTAACAAGGTCATACCCACTCCAACAAAGCCATGCTTCCTAAGGGCACCACTCACTATGAGATTATGGGATTGGGGGAGGGGGGCAGTTACATTCAAACTACCACACCTGGCTTTAAGCCTGGGACCAGGAAGGAGTTTTCTAGAATGAATGGCTATACCAAGGGCTTTGCTTCTAATTCCTACTGCTGTCACTTCCTGTTCCTGCCATAGCTAAGGACTACAAGTTTGCTCACTGAACACATTACAGACAGATGATGTTAGGGTTCTCTGTCTTAGAAATCTGGCATGGGTCTCACTGAGCTAAATCCAAGGTGTTCAACGGAGCTGTGACCTTCCAAGGGAATATGTTTCCTTGCCTTTTCCAGGTTCTGAGGACTACTCACATTGTTTGCTCTTGGTCCTCTAGTTCCTTTTCCTAAAACGAACAGAGAAAACCATCTGCTCATTCTTTTACTTTAATTAACTTTGCTTTTAAATTGAAATTATTTTCACTCCCTTTTCTTGTATTTGTCCTCTCTCTCTCTCTCTCTCTCTCTCTCTCTCTCTCTCTCTCTCACACACACACACACACACACACACACACACACCTTTCATGTGTTCTCATTCTAGACCAAAGGCTAACTTCAAATTCTTAATTCCACTTTTCTACCTTCCATGTGCTGAGATTCCAGGACTGCAACACTATGCCAGCTCAAGTGAAGTTCTTAAGAGGTGATACAGAGCGCCTCTTATTTTATTACCACACATTTTTCTGACCACAGCCCAGACAATTCACTTTCCTTAAAGGATCTATGAGTCTATATCAGACTCACCTGTAAGATTTAGAATAATCTCCCAAGTCAAAGTCTCCAACTTAATCACAACTGCAGAGTCAAGTTTGCCCCTTAAGTTAATATATGCAGAGTTTTCAGGTATCAGGGTGTAGACATATTTGGAGGGGGCACATTTTGTATACCACACTTCTCTAACATGATTCTGGCACCAAAAATGTAGAAGCATTAACTCGGAAGAAGTGGAAGTTGTATTTTATAATCTTGTCACAACAGCAGATACATGAGAGGCAAGGTTTGGGGCTGATCATTTTGCCAAAATTAAGGCCTTTCTTACAAATAGCACCTGACTTTAATGTGCTAGTTTCTGCAGAAATGAAAGCAAATCCAGCCTCCATTCTGCCTTTATCACTAATCCAACAGGCATTTAAAGCCGTGCTCTCCCTGGCTTGCTGGGCTGTGCAGTCAAGCGGTCCAAAGGGCCCTCAGCACAGCTGCCGCTCTCAGTGCCGTAACCAGGATCTGGTTACTCCTGCTTCTTCTCTAACTTGGACCCCTCCCAAGAAGAACTTTGATTTAAATATTCTATTACTGAGCTACCAGGCACTCTCTGGCTCCCGCTTGTCTTTGAGGAGATTCCAAATCTCCGTACTTATGTGGACATGCCTTCAATAGCATCTACTAGAAAGATGCACTTTGTTCTTTCAGTGGTCAAGAAGAAAATTGTGCTTGAGCAAAGGCTCTTGAGTATTTTCAGACAGTTAGGGGATGGATGCGGGTGTTGCCAGTTAAAAAGAGTATTTCTAAACTGCTTCTCCAGGCCTATGAAGACATGGCTTAGCATGTGCTGGTTGGAGAGAAATCTGAGCTTCTGCCATGGGGTCAGCTATCTTGTTACCTTTTAACCCTATTAACTGATATTCCACTAGCTAAGCAGTACTTACTAAATGTAGTCTGCATGATCCACACTAGAGAAATGGTTGAGAAATAAAGTAAGATAAGCCAAAAAGGAGCTGTTGAGTAGGAAAATGAAAGGAAGCC